GTATTGAAAACACACATGTGGATTTTCCAACCGAAGCAGCTCAATCAAGGCATAATAAGCACCCTTTTAGAGCAGCTTTTAAATGACTGTGATACTCAGCTCCTTCTAGACATTTACTGGTTGTGGTTACAAAATTGGTGAAGGCAATAGAGAATGGTCCAGGAGACAAGAGAAGAGGTGATTTCTCTTCACAGGAAGGGCAATGGCTATAAGAGGATTGCCAAAGATGTTAAACATAACCAAGGAGACACCTTAGGAAGCATCATTCCGCAAATTCAAGGCAAAGGGCACTGTTGAAACGCTATCAATGGTCGTGGCAGAAAAGAAGATGCTGACTTCGACTGCTGTGCGCTTACCTGAAAGCGTAGAGTGGAGAGAAGTCCCCGTGTGACTGCTGAGGAACTGAGAAAAGATTTGTCAGATGTGGGTACAGAAGTTTCAGCCCAGACAATAAGACGCACACTGCGTAATGAAGGCCTCCGTGCCAGAAACTCCCAGGCGTCACCCCCTTGCTGTCTCCAAAGAATAAGAAGAGTCGACTGCAGTATGCCAAAAGCCATGTGGACAAACCACAAAAGTTGTGGGATAGTGTTCTGTGGATGATGAAACAAAATTAGAGAACTGTTTGGGCCCATGGATCAACGCTATGTTTGGAGGAGGAAGAAACAAGGCCTATGATGAAAAGAACACCTTGCTACTGTGAAGCATGGTGGAGGGTCAATCATGCTTTGGGGCTGTTTTGCTTCTGCAGGTACAGGGAAGCTTCAGCGTGTGCAAGGTACCATGAATTCTCTTCAGTACCAGGAGATATTGGATGGAAACGTGATGCAGTCCGTCACTCACCTGAGGCTTGGGAGACGTTGGACCTTTCAACAGGACAATGATCACCCAAGCATACCTCCAAGTCCACTAGAGCATGGGTTTTTGCAGAGGAAAGGCTGGAACATTTTGGAGTGGCCATCGCAGTCACCAGACTTAAATCCGATTGAGAACCTCTGGTGGGACTTAAAGAAATGCAGTTGCAGTGCGCAAGCCTAAGAATGTGACTGACTACTGGAGGCCTTTGCCATGAAGAATGGGCGAAGATACCCTCTCCTAGATCGCTGCAAGGACACTTGTGTCAAGCTATGCTTCACGTTTTAAAAGTGTTATAACCTGTTAAAGGATGCTGTACTAAGTACTAAGATTGAATGTCACTTGGGGGTTGAATAAAACTGATAATGCTGTGAGCACAGAAAAGACATTTGTGGTTATTTCATCGATTATAACTGTTATGTTATATTTGTCTGACCTACAAGTGCCTCTTTAATGTAAATGTAAGCAAGATGAACTGAATGATCAAAAAGCAATGTCAAAAACTGGCCAAAAACACTCAATTTCAGTGGGGGTTTTGAATAATTTTGGGACACAAACTGTATAACCTGTCTTAATGTGACCACAGAAACACAACCACACACAAGGCCTAGACACCAGTCAGCCAACAGCGGGCTTGATGAGTAGACGTACAAGGACTCTCCTACCAACTGCAGGTCAACTACTAAAGCAAAGCTTGTGGGGCAATGTTTAAGCCAAACTAACGAAGAATCAATATAGGCAAGCTTTCTATTATAATTAATCTGCAAAAGATCTGCCTGTTCTCCAGAGCAATGACAATGTACGGATTCAGCCAATAGGGAAATATGACAAACACTGGAAAAAAGCGAACGGTATGTACAGAAATTGGGACCACGGTCCTATGAAATTATAACATGAGGAAAGGAAGAAGATGGAGGAGAAAAATCGGAGAGACATCTGAGGAAAAACACAAGAAGGAGATGATACAGGGCCCTGGGAACAGTATATGGACACTCAAAGCGATGAGACTGATGAATACCAGCAACAATAGAAACAGGAACTGCTGAGGAGCATAGGGAGGTCTCTAGGCAGAGAGAGACAGTCCCAGAAAATAGTCTGCCAGAATCAGAAGAAACCTCATATGTTACGCGAGCTGGCAGAACAATCAGAAAAGCCGGCTCCCACCCTCAAGGATTATATCTAATTTTATAGCTATGTTCTACCTTCACCATTTTGTGTTTGTTATATTTCATTGTTCTTTTATTTAAAAGAGAAAGGGTGTGTAGCAATATGTTATATGCTGGTGTATGGGCCTCTAGGGGTCTCACTACTTAGATAACTGTACAACTGTGTTATTTGCCTCTCTTTGGTTGTAGTTCTAGGGCAGACACATGTATAATGGCAGCTAGAAGCACCTAATTAAAATGTCTCCTGTTAACTACAGTGTGTGAGCATCTGAGCAGGATCCACTAACAGAACAGGTGGAGAACGGTCTCCGCAAACGCTGGAGAACGGTCTACAAACTCTGGAAAGCGGCTGATTTTACTATAATTTCGCGAGATTACAGTAAAAGATCAGTTTACTAAGCAGAGGTAAAATTATCTCTGCTTAGTTTTCGGGTCCCTCTGATTCTCCAACTCTGGGCTGGAGAATATGGAGGGAGAACACAGATCTCCAGAGAAGGGCCTGAACATGATCTCCTGAGTGTCATAAATAGAGATGAGCGAAGTATTCAAAATTCGATTCGACAGATTCGGCGAATTCGTGGAAAAATTTTGATTCGAGTCGAATATATTCGCTGCGAATTTAACTTATAAAATATGGGTGTTTCTAGGCTTCAGAGAGACTTTATATTAGTGCAGAACACTGTACCTTTAATTTAAATGCCTTGGAGTCTTCTGGGGAAGAGAAATAATACTGGACAGTCAGTATGACATGCAGATGAGTGCCGTCGATCTTAGAATCACCGCACACTTCACTCATTTGGGCAGTCACGGGGCCAAAACCAGAGTGTGGAGCCACTGTGTGGCGGTGGAGGCAGAAGCAATGGGAGGCCATACAGCACCCTATGACAAAAATGGAAACCACCAGCAGTGTGAGGAGACCTGAAAGTGGCACATGGCAGAGTGTGGCGATGGAGACAGCAGCAATGGGAGGTCGTACAGGGAACATATGACAACACTCTGGACCTGGCAAGCAGCATGAGGAGGCGGTACAGGGGCCCATGACAGATTACGGGCCTGGCAGCAGCATGAGGAGTTGGTACGGGGGCCCATGGCAGATTACGGGCCTGGCAGCAGCAATGGGAGGCCATACAGGGACCCATGACACACTCTGGACTGGCAGCAGCATGAGGGGGAGGTGGTACAGGGGCGCATGACAGATTACGAGCCTGGCAGCAGCAACTTGGACAGGTGAACGTTTAGCTTCTGCACCGTCGGGTGCGTGCTCGCAAATGTTGTCTCTTGGAAACGGATTCCAGAAAGACTGCTGACGGAATCCGTGAAGAGGGAGTAGCAGGAGAAGGAGCATCTGAACCGAGCGGAATATGCCATCAAGCGTACAACAGGGGCCCATGACAGATTACGGGTCCTGGCAGCAGCATGAGGAGTCGGTACGGGGGTCCCATGGCAGATTAGGGGCCTGGCAGCAGCTATGGGAGGCCCGTAAATCTGCCAGCACCCTATGACAAAAAAATGGAACCCACCAGCAGTGTGAGGAGACCTGAAAGTGGCACATGGCAGAGTGTGGCGATGGTGACAGCAGCAATGGGAGGCCGTACAGGGACCCATGAGAGACTCTGGACCTGGCAAGCAGCCATGAGGAGGCGGGGTATAGGGGCCCATGGCAGATTAGGGGCCTGGCAGCAGCTATGGGAGGCCCGTAGTCTGCCAGCACCCTATGACAAAAAATGGAAACCCACCAGCAGTGTGTGAGGAGACCTGAAAGTGGTCACATGGCAGAGTGTGGCGATGGAGACAGCAGCAATGGGAGGCCGTACAGGGGGACCCATGAGAGACTCTGGACTTGGCAGCAGCATGAGGAGGCGGTATAGGGGCCCATGACAGATTAGGGGCCTGGCAGCAGCTATAGGAGGCCCGTAATCTGCAGCACCCCTATGTCAAAAAAAATTGAACACACCAGCAGTGTGAGGAGACCTGAAAGTGGCACATGGTATGAGACACTGTGGACCTTGGGCAGCAGCATGAGGAGGCGGTACAGGGGCCCATGGCAGATTAGGGGCCTGGGCAGAGGCTATAGGAGGCCGTAATCTGCCAGCACCCTATGTCAAAAAATTCACACGACCAGCAGCTGTGAGGAGACCTGAAAGTGGCACATGGCATGAGACACTGTGGACCTGGCAGCAGCGCATGCCAAGCCCCTTGGGCGGCTAGGGAATACAGGGGCCCATGGCAGATTAAGGCCTGGCAAAAGCAGCAATGGGGAGGCGCCCAGAAAACAATGCGACGCTGCATATGCTGACGCAACGCTGTAGTCCAAAACATGGGCCCCCTGGCCACGCATTGACTTTCTGGCCACATAGTCGACATACGGCTACGTTTACTTCCTCGGGCGGCTCTTGACGAAAAAATTGCCACACCGCGAGTAGGAGAAACTTTGCCCCCGCTACTCCTCACTGGCTGACTGCATACTTCCCCTCTGTGCACACCCCTTTCGGATGGGCATCCAACTACTGGCCCACTTGTGCGTGGTAGGCTGCAGTGGAGCGCTCGGTGCTCTACTCCGTGCACGTTTTGCGTCTCCACTGACACTGCTGCGAACCCTGCTGCCTCCTGGCAGCAGCAATGGGAGGCCGTACAGGGACCCATGACACACTCTGGACCTGGCAGCAAGCATGAAGAGGCGGCAGGTACAGGGGGCCCATGGCAGATTACGGGGACCTGGCAGCAGCAGCAATGGGAAGGCCCGTAATCTGCCAGCACCCATGACAAAAAATGGAACACACCAGCAGTTGTGTGAGGAGACCTGAAAGTGGCACATGGCAGAGTGTCGCGATGGAGACAGCAGCAATGGGAGGGCCGTACAGGGACCCATGAGAGACTCTGGACCTGGCAGCAGAATGAGGAGGCGGTACAGGGGCCCATGGCAGATTAGGGGCCTGGCAGCAGCTTTGGGAGGCCCATAATCTGCCAGCACCCTATGACCAAAAAATGGAACACACCAGCAGTGTGTGAGGAGACCTGAAAGTGGCAATGGCAGGAGTGTCGCGATGGAGACAGCAGCAATGGGAGGCCGTACAGGGACCCATGAGAGACTCTGGACCTGGCAGCAGCATGAGGAGGCGCGGTACAGGGGCCCATGGCAGAATTACGGGCCTGGCAGCAGCAATGGGAGACCCGTAATCTGCCGCAGCACCCTATGACAAAAAATGTAATACACCAGCAGTGTGTGAGGAATGACCCTGAAAGTGGCACATGGCACGAGTGTTGGCGGCGATGGATGACAGCAGCAATGGGAGGCCGCATGTACAGGGGACCATGAGAGACTCTGGACCTAGGCAGCAGCATGAGGAGGCGGTATAGGGGCCCATGGCAGTTAGGGGCCTGGCAGCAGCTATGGGAGGCCGTAATCTGCCAGCACCTATGACAAAAAATGGAACCACCACCAGCAGTGTGAGGAGACCTGAAAGTGGGACATCGGCATGGCATGTTTGACATGTGGTGGACCTGGCAGCAGCATGAGGAGGCGGTACAGGGGCCCATGGCAGATTAGGGGCCTGGCAGCAGCTATAGGAGGCCCGTAATCTGCCAGCACCCTATGTCAAAAAATTGAACACACCAGCAGTGTGAGGAGACCTGAAAGTGGCACATGGCAAAGTCATGGCATGAGACCACTGTGGGACCTGGCTGCCAAGCAGCATGAGGAGGCGGTACAGGGGCCCATGGCAGATTACGGGCCTGGCAGCAGCAATGGGAGGCCGTAATCTGCCAGCACCCAATGACAAAAAATGGAACACACTCAGCAAGTGTGTATGGTCAGGAGACCTGAAAGTGGCACATGGCAGAGTGTCGCGATGGAGACAGCAGCAATGGGAGCCCGTTACAGGGACCCCAATGAGAGAGACTCTGGACCCTGGCAGCAGCATGAGGAGGCGGGTACCAGGGGCCCATGGCAGATTAGGGGCCTGGCAGCAGCTTTTGGGAGGCCCGTAATCTGCCAGCACCCTATGACAAAAAAATGGAAACACACCAGCAGCAGTGTGAGGAGACCTGAAAGTGGCAACATGGCAGAGTTCTATGTGGCGATGGAGACAGCAGCAATTATGGGAGGCCGTACAGGGACCCATGACAGACTCTGGGACCACCCCATTAGGGCAGCAGCATTGAGGAGGCGGTATAGGGGCCCATCTGGCAGATTAGGGGGCCTGGCAGCATGCTATGGTAAGGCCCCTAATCTGCCAGCACCCTATGACAAAAAATGGAAACACACCAGCAGTGTGAGGAGACCTGAAAAGTTGGCACAATGGCAGAGTGTGGCGATGGATACAAGCAAGCAATGGGAGGCCGTGACAGGGACCCTTATGACAGTACTCTGGACCTTGGCAATTTGCAGCAGCATGAGGAGGCGGTATAGGGGCCCATGGCAGATTAGGGGCCTGGCAGCAGCTATGGGAGGCCCGTAATCTGCCCGCACCCTATGACAAAAAATGAACACACCAGCAGTGTGAGGAACCTGAAAGTGGCCTCACACTGGCATGGAGACACTGTGGACCTTATGGCTGCAGCATGAGGAGGCTGGGTACAGGGGCCCCATGGCAGATTATGGGCCTGGCAGCAGCTATGGGAGGCCCGTAATCTGCCAGCACCCTATGACAAAAAAGACCTGGAACACACCAGCAGTGTGTGAGGAGACCTGAAAGTGGCACATGGCAAGTGTGGCGATGGAGGACAACCCACCGACTGTTTGTTGCTCGCTGCCAAAACAGGTAGCTGCCACCCCAATCTTCTCCTGATGATGCGGAAGCAATAGCCTGATGACGACGAGGCTGCCAGGCAAGTGCGATCAGCTCTAGATCATCATCAATTAGGGTCTCCTGCCTCCCACTACGTAGTCCCCCTCGGTAAAATTCTGCGTTGTGGGTAAGGAGGGACAGGACCTGTCTCTAGACCGCCTACGTCACGAGCCTCTCTCTCGCCACGTACTATCTTGATGTCTGGCCTGCTGAGTAAGAGGCGGATGTCTCCCCCCGTTCCTGACCCGTACCTCCCCCTTCTGTTAGCTCTTCCTAACTGTACTGGATGACACCGGGAGCACTGTGCCTCTGGCTTCGAATCAGTGCTGCCGTCGACCCCTTCTCTGTCTGAGTAACACGTCTGCTCGCTCCCTAAAACATTGCCTCCTCTGCCACTCCTCTGCATGTTGTGTCCTTACATACGATTCTCTGTAGTCCCTAAGTAACCGATTCTGTGTCCCTCAGTAACAATTCTGTGGTCCCTCAGTAACAATCTGTGTCTGTCCCTGTAACAATTCTGTGTCCTCAGTAAACAATTTCTGTGTCTGTCCCTGAGTAACAATTTCTGTGTCCATCGTAATCAATTCTGTGTCCTCAGTAACAATCTGTGTAAAATTTCTGTGTCTGTCCCTGAGTAAACAATTCTGTGTCCCTGAGTAACCAGTTTCTGTTGTCCCTCAGTAACAATTTCTGTGCCCTCAGTAACAATTCTGTGTCCCTCAGTAACAATTCTGTGTCTGTTGAGTAACAATTCTGTGTCCTGTCCTGTGAGTAACAATTCGTGTGGTCCCTGAGTAACAATTCTGTGTCCCGTCAGTAACATTTCTGTGTTCCTGAGTAACAATTTCTGTGTCCTGAGTATACGTTTCTGTGCCCTAAGTAACGATGTCAGTTGGCCCTCAGTAAGGAATTCTGTGTCTGTCCCTGAGTAACAATTCTGTCTGTCCCTAGTAACGTTTCTGTTCTTTCCCTAAGGAAGTTTCTGTGGCCCCTAAGTAACGTTTCTGTGGCCCTAAAGTTAACGATTCTGTGGCCCTCAGTAACAATTCTGTGTCCCTCAGTAACAATTTCATGTGTCATGAGTAAACAACAATTCTGTGTCTGTCCCTGAGTAAGAATTCTGTGTCTGTCCCTGATTAACAATTCTGTGTCCCTGAGTAACAAATCCTGTGTCCCTCAGTAACAATGCTGTGTCTCTCAGTAACAAATCAGTGTACCTGAGTAACATATTCTGTGTCTGTCCCTGAGTAAAGAATTCTGTGGTCCTGTCCCCCTGAGTAACAATTCTGTGGCCGCTAAGGAACGTTTCTGTGGCCCTAAGTAATCGTTTCGTTGTGGCCCTAAGTAACGATTCCTGTGGCCAAAGGTAAACGTATCTGTGGGCCCTAAGAACATGTCTGTGCCCTAAGTAACGGTTCTGTGTCCCTCAGTAACAATTCTCGTATCCCTCAGTAACAATTTTCTGTGTCTGTCCCTAAGTAACAAATCTGTAGCCCTAATAACAATTCTGTGGCCCTAAGTAACGATTCTGTGTCCCTAAGTAACGATTCTGTGGCCCTAAGTATCGATTCTGTAGGCCCTAAGATAACGTTTTTTCTGTAGCCCTAAGTATCGTTTTCTGTAGCCCTAAGTAACGTTTTTCAGTGGACCTATTGTAACGTTTCTTCTTGTGGCCCTAAGTAACGGTTTTGTGTCCCCCAGTAACAATTCTGTATACCTCAGTAAACATTCTGTGTCTGTCCCTAAGTAACATTCTGGTGGCCCTAAGTAAACATTCTGTGGCCTAAGTAAACGTTCTGTGTCCTAAGTAACGATTCTGTGGCCCTAAGTAACGATTTACCCCTAAGTAACGTTTCTG